ACAGGAGCTAAATCGCCTATTCGCTACTTGCCGGTTGACACAAGGCTTTTCGCCGCTGCAGAGCGATGCAGTGGCAACGTTCGGCCCTCCAACTACCCACGGGTCTTGTGGTCGATCTGCTGCAAGATTTTGTGCATTGTAATGATTTGGGTAGAGTGATGGCAGTTCTTCAATGCCGGATATGCCTTGATTGTTGACATCGATTCCCTGAGAATGCAAGCTCCTGAGTCATTTTACCACTATGATAAGGTATCAATTTCAAAGCTCTGCTCTTTGTTACGGACGTGTGCTACTAATATCGCGTTCCTGATGCTCCCATGAACAAATTTTATGTGTACTAGGACTTAAAATTGCTGATAAAGACTGGCATTTTAATCTTTGAAAGACAAGAAAGTTTAATAGTGGACCCAGACCTGGGATTAAAACTTTTTTGATAACAGGTGCACTCGTTTGTGCGCTTAGTGGTTTATCTGTTTTTGTTATTGCTGAGCATATTTGGTTGAATGCTGTGTCTAAGCAGTGGTCAAATAATTCTCCGTATACTCGATTGTAAAATAAGTTGAAACATCGGCACCTGAAATATTGCACTACCGTAGGATACGCGCCACTACAAGTTCGGGATTACGTTCATCTGCGTTTATGTTGTACATCTGTCTCTTAGACATTGAGCTTAAGCTTAATTACTAGGTTGATGACATCTGCAGATTGTGCTGTTTAACTTAAAATGAAGTGGATAATCATCTCTTTATTTCTTTACCCAAACGAGTACTCGCTTCAGTCCTAGCAACGGACGCAAAATTACTCAATGATTATGAGGGAAACGTATAGGGTATTTGTACATTCGATAAAAAAAACAGATAGTTGTATGATTGAGCAAATTTGATTCTTTATTTCTCATCCTTACTAAACGGCTTCTCAGTCGTGGGAAACGGCTGTAACCTAAAATTCTCTCGTTACATGAACTCCAATCAGTGTCGAGACGCGTGAATCCAGCAGTTTTTTTCAGAAAGCCCATTTTATCCGCATGTTCTCGGGGTCAAAATTTTTCACTCATAGCCCACGCTCATCACTATGTGTGATAGCATATGAAAATCGGCTTCAGCATAGCTTAATCTTCAGATTTTTCTAATAACTATTGCTGATAACTATTTTACTAATGAATAATAATTATATAATTACTGGACGTCAGGAATGTAGGCTACTTGTTAGCTTTATGTTATGGTGATAAGACATAGAGCAGCAAACCTCTTATGCATAATGAAAGCAGCGGAACTTTTCGTTTGTAATTTGCTTTGTAGCCTATTAAAATGCCAATCGAACAACATGACCATAGGAGAGCAACATGGACGTGTAATTCCACACGTAGAATCTTAATGCCCCTTTCTTCACAAACTAGACTTATACTTATTCAAAAGTCATCTTCAGTCAAAATGTACATGTTTCACACTACATTTTGTCACACTACTGCCTTTTCTAAATATAATTTTGCCGTCAATTAGCATGCAAACGGCAATCAATGGCACTACTTGGAAAAGGAAAATTTAGCGTCTTGTATTGCAACGAATTAACGGTATGAACGCACTGATTGATCCCACGTAGACGAGATGTAATTATATGTTTTGGACACAATAAACACATCGGAGACTTACTCCAGGGATTTATTGTCCTTTTCGTTTCTGAAGAACATCACGCTGAAAACGGTTATTTAAAGTTAGTCTAATTTTACAAGAGGTTAATAGCTTCATTTAATGTTTATAAATGTAGAAATTTTCATTCTGAACTTACTGTCAACACAGTAGGGTCTTTTGTTGAACAAAACTGAGGGCACGCCCTTTCGAACGCTGGATGCTTGCAATATGACTTCTTTGCACTGCTACATCGTTCGGTTGCATCAGTTGGACAACTTCCTTCCAGGAATGCAAAGACGGCGAGCAGCAAAGAGAGTGCCATCACTTTGTAACTTTCTGAACACAGAGACTGATCAACAGGCGTAATGCGTTGATGCCTGTTATGTGAACAAACCGTCAAACGTATTTATGGGACAGGTTATGTTTATGCGCCCTTCTTTCTCACCCTAATAACAAATTGACTGTTCACTTTGCTCATACCTGATCGCTGTTCTTGATAATTACTTCTGCAGGTCATAACGATGCCATATTTCAAAATGAAAGCGTTGGTTCCATTCAGCTGCTGTCAACGGAAAGTGATTTCCAGCCACTGAAACGGAAAGTCATAAATACTTCCAAATCCTTACTAGAGCGAAACTGTATCGAGTTATGATAAATTTACATTCTTGTTTCATTAGCATAACTGGAAAATTAAAATTAGAATGAAAATGAACAATTGTACTGGGCATCTAATAAGCCGTGAAAAGGAAAGCAAGTAGCAGGTAGGTCTGAATGTCGGTCTTTCTTTCACTCTCATGATGCGGCTATTCTGGCGCCCTTCTTTTCATGAAGTTACTGGCAGGGGCGCTGATTTTCATTTCTATGCCATTGGCCAGGAGGCTTTGTCTTAAAGGCAAAATCGGCAGGAGCCATGTAGCACGTTGTACGTAGTTTCTTGTGTTCTTCTCTCAGAGTTGTAATTATTCATCAACCTCGGAAGGAAGAAAGGTGAATGATCCGGACCGGGGCTCGAGTCCGAAACCTCTTGGCTCTGAGTCTGACGCTGTACCGATTGAGCTATCTAACTTTGAAGCAACAAGTGATAAATTCCTTCCTCAAGAAAATTCGCGGTGAAGAGAAAGATTCTTCATCCACCAGAATCGAACCCGGCACCTGCAGAGCTGCAAGCCGACCTCTTACGTACTTTGCTTTTCACGTTTCAAATAAGATGGACAAATGATTGTGTGATCTATAATTGGGTTAATGGACTGGAGTTCAAATTCGAACCCAAAACTTCCAAAC